GAGGAAACGTTCCCTTTTTTGCTTTCTTTGACGTTTTTAAGACATTAAAAAACTAGACATTCTGAGAACATTTAAGAAATAATGTTTTCATAACTGAAAAGGAATGTTAGCGAAACGTTCTAAGACAAAACAAATTTGCTGGGGATGTTGATGTTGTCCTTCCACCCGTGTGTTTTTGACCTGTGACATACTAACAAAAGCCATGAAAATAATTTAGTTTTAATCTATGAAAAGATTATTTATTCATTTTAACTGTTTTGAATCTGACAGCTTTTAAGCTACATGGCCTCATACTAAAAGTGCATTTCGTCAAGTCACATTTATTTATATAGCACTTTTTACAATAGGCCTACAGATTGTTTCAAAGCAGCTTTACAGAGATAACAAGAAAATAATGCAACAAATTTTGTTTCCAGAAGAAAATATCGTCACAGTCCAGTTTAAGTAATAAGTGCAGTGATGGTTAATATTTGTTGTAAAAAAGTTATTAATTTAGATAGCCGCTGGAGAAAACCGTGATGTCATCGTCCAGGTCAGTTCAGTTCTCATATAATGGTGTCAATGCAGGCAGATCAATAGTATTGTTGAATATTAAATTAAATGTCCCCAATTAAGCAAGCCATAAGCCAATGGCAACAAAGGCGAAAAAGGCGACAGTGGCAAGGAACCAAAACTCCCATCAGGTCATTCAGGTGACAGAATGGAGAAAAAAACTTTGTGAGAACCCAGGCTCAGTCTCCTCTGGCCAACGAATGATATGAATATGATTCAGGCAGCATTATATGCCAGAAGTCAGATTGGAGAGAACATCAGCATACAGATGGCCTCAGTCAAAGCTAACATACATGGACTAAAAGTAAAAACCACAAACTCTTATTCTGATTTTATGAGTTTTATTATGTCTTCTGGCATTAAGATTCTTGCTAATTTTATTTAGAAATTTTGATTTTCATGACAAAGAATAATTCAATTAAAGATCTAATTAAATTGATCAGTTTACATGCTCTAGAGTTTCTCCAATAAAGATATGTATAACGTTAATTTATAATTAAACCTACTAAACCTGATAAGGAGGTTTCAACTGTAATTATTCACAGTATTAATCTTAATCTATGCCCTCATTTTTAAAGTGGAACCCATTACTTCTTTCTTAGTTCTACACGGACGGAAAATGAGGCTGTACGACACCGCTGCAAGGATTGTGGGTTTACATGGCTGCGCCCTGTGAAGCCATGTTGATTAATATCCTACTTACTTTATTCTGAATAATATGAATTTGTGAAATGACGTACATGAACACATAAACATGTGGAATCAAGTTCGTAAACTGCAAAGAAACAAAACCTTGAAATATGGGATCCCGATGCTGGTGAGCGTTTTAATGTAGCTTCGTGTATGCTGGATGAGCTATTGTCATCAAGTCTTTATAGTTAACGTTATGTTTTAAATATTTGTGTGTGACCTAAACTTTAGTAATTATTAGATCGTGGTTTAAATAATACTTATAATAATAATGGGAGTAGTAGTAATGTAGAGGTTGTTTAATTGACCGTCAAAGCAAAGGTCATATTTAGTGTGATGTAATTGTTTTGTCCAGGTTTTTTTTTTTTTTTAATTAAATGTTTTATAAGAGTGCACTGTGAGGTTTATTTAGTTGTAAAAAGAAAACCTGTATGTAAATCAATTCATTAATGCCTAAAACAATAAAAAAATATTACAGGAGTATAATTCTCAGATAATTCAGTTTCAGATTTCAACAAATGTTGTGTTTTTTTTTCATTGTTGATACTGACTATACATCAGTTTTTCAATGTGCAACATTTACAAGTTCTAGTTTCTATTTACAGGATCTAGTTTCTGCCTTTGCACATAATGAGGTAGACTGGTACTCATATTTGAATGTTTATTTTCTGAAGCTTCTGGTCGTGGGAGGGTCGTTTGGATTGAGAGAATTCACTCAGATTAGGTATGATGCGCAGAAGATCAAAAGGAAGGTATGTGAAACTTAAAAGACTAAAATATAGCATCTGAAATACAATCTGTCCATCTTGCCAAACGGACAGAACTGTTTTCTGCTGTTCAATAGAATCTCTTAACATGTTATCATTATACTTCTTTCATGTTATTATTATTATTTAATTTTTTTGCATGTTTGTTCTAGCTGGACCCGACACTGGAATCCCGGGTGAACACTGAAAAACAGTCTGTCATCCTTGAGGAAGAGTATGAGGTATTGAGATCTGTGTTCGTACACTGTTTTATAGTGCTATAATGTTTTGAAGAGCCATCTGCTGTTTTGCTGCCTGCAGCATGGATGTTATGTTTATTCGGTAGTGAGTTTGTGGTGCATAATTGTTAAACATCTGGCTTGTTAAATGCAATGGGTGCAGGTTTGGATCTGACGCAGGGTGACTCAGGAATTGTAATCACAATTTTGTTGTGCAGTTTGTCAAGCAGGACACGTAACACTAGGTTGCTCCAGTTAGACTCACCGACCCGGTATTTAGTGTGCCAAAAGTTTTTTTGGACGGAAAGTGTCTAGTTAGCTGTTTAGTCCCAACTAAGTGCACTAGATGGCACTTGGTTCATTTATTATCTCCATTTCAGGCTGTGGGTGTTTGAGGCACTGCAAAAACACACTTTCATTATACTGCAGTGGTAATTCTCTTCTGCCTTTTTTTTTCTTTTTTTGTTGCTTTTGAGCCATTTTAAGAAGTTTACAATGCCATTAAATGTAACCTTCGGCTACCAGGCAAGTAGTAGAAGAGCGCCCTCAAGTGGAACCAGGGAAGATGAGTTATTATAAGCAACTTCACAGCTGTTCATTAGATGATAAGTAGGTGTCATCCTCAGTATTTTATATTAGATTTCACATTGACCCACCATGAATCATTTATAACAAACAAACGCTCTGCTTCAGCTGATTGGGCTCATCTTTAGTTACTAAATGCAATACAGATCAAAAGTTTTGGGTCATGAAGATTTTATTCAGCAACGATTAAACTGATCAAAAGTGACAGTAAAGACATTTATAATTTTACAAAAGAACCTTAAAATAAAAGTTTTTTTTTTTTTAGCTTTCTATTAATCAAAGAATCCTGGGGGGGAAAATCAACATTGATAATAAGAAATGTTTCTTGAGCATATTAGACTGATTCCTGAAGGATCATGTGACACTGAAGACTTGAGTAGTGATGCTGAAAATGCACCTTTGCCATCACAATAAATTACATTTTAAAATGTATTATAATAGAAAACAGTTGTTTTAAAATGTAATAATATTTCACAATATTACTATTTTTACTGTACTTTTCATCAAATAAATGCAGCCTATATATTTTTTACTTGAACTGTAGTATTCAGGCCATTTAATAATTTAGCAAGACTTGATTAGAAGTTTAATGCATTTTCTATGCATTTATTCTTGACTTCTGATGGCCATTTAGCATGATTTGTGCTTTGCTTGTCCATTCGATTTGTGGCTAAAACTGGCTATGGTAAAAAGAGTAATTTTGATGTAAGCCAATCTCTTTTGTTGCTGCAGAAATTGAAAGATATGGACTTGGGTGGATGGCAGAACATTCGTGGCCCTCGTCCCTGGGAGGATTCCAGGGAGAGCCAGGACCAGCAGCGATCACGGCTCAATAAAGGCACATAGAACTGAAAGTTTAAACTCCCCCTACTGGCCCAAAGATGTAAGACACTTAAAACCAGTGCAGTCTATACCTTGGTTGTCACTGCATAATATATCAGCACTATTATGTTATTGTATACCTAACCCAGAAACTACCAATGTGGATTCCACTTTGTCTTTTTTGTTGTTGGAAAGATACTTTTCTAATACACTTTTATGAATATGTGGCTGGATATGTGTATAGTATGTTCTCTGTACAGTGTCTTATTTATGGTGTCAGGCAGACTGTAACTAACTCTTATGCCTTGTGTGTTACCTTGTCAGTTCACAATCACAGTAATACATAACTCAAGACCCATTAGTGTGTTTGAGTGATAATATATTCCCATGTTCTTTCAATGGTGCAAACAGAATCAGTGCTGGATGAATGGTGTACAGTCTAATGGCAGTAGGCATGAACGACCCTCTGTACTTTAAAACAGTATTTGATTATCGCGATTTGAAAAACTTGCGGTACGTACTACGTAAATACTGTCCAGAATTAAGCAAAGTTAGCAACAGCCTTGCGCAGGCGAGTTTATATATATGTTTATATTCTCGGTACCTTTAAAAAGTTGATAGATGTTTTACAGGGTTCAACAGTAAGGATTTTCCCCCCCAAAAAAATGTAATCCCACCTCCATAGATAAAGCAATTTGTAAATAATTTTTAGCAATGCATTTTTATATTTTAGTGAATATTTTTGTGAATGTGAACTTCAAATGTTTTTAGAATTGCGCAAGCACTTTTGATTTTAGTAAAGCATTTGTAAATGTTGAATTTAACATTAACTGAGATGAATAAATTCTTTAGAAGTATTTTTCATTGTTAGTTCATCTTAACTATTGTTAACAAGTGAAACTTTATTGTAAAGTGTTCCCTAACTATTTTTTACAAAAAATATTTCTTTGTGAAAAGAAAATATCCAACAAGACGGATATTAACTAATGTATTATGCAGTTTATCAAATTTTTTACTGATGCTTTTAGTATGACTATCAAGTATTTTTTTTGCAATTTTGACAAAACCTATTTATGCTAGCCAGCTAAATATTATTATCTTTGTGGCACAAAAGCAGAATTTGCAACCGGTGTTCAATACATCTCAGAAAACCAAAATTTCAAGGCATAAAAATGGATGTACAGGATGAATGAATGGAAGATTTCAGTGGCATTAAAGAACTAGACTGAAAGGACCAGTGCCTGTCGTGTCGACCACTGTTCGGTCAACTGGCCCAAAAATCTCTCACACTGCTGGCCATCCTTATTGTTGAGCCGTGTTTGCGATGTATATTATTTTGCGATGGTGATTATTATCCTTCCCCCTCCAAACTAGTTGGTTTACTGTATCGTCCTTTGTGGCTGTTGTGCTTTGTATGCTACTCGGCGTTGTTATTCACCTGTTCGTCACCTGTATGGCATAAACGCATCAGTGAGATGCCACAGAGCCTGCGAAAGAGGAAAAATATCACCTCCTGCTGCTTTAATCAATGCCTACACCTATGGTTGTGTGATTTAAAAGGTTTAATCTTTGGGGATACGTTGCGTCCAACTGTGAAGCAGCACACGGTCTTGATTCAGTCCTGGAGTGCACATGTATTTCTGACAGGATCCGGGCACAGGCTGCTGCTCTCAGGCTAATGTTAACGCCAGCACTGACTCATCTGTGTGATGTGAAGCTTTGTTCCGAGGCACATTATAACAAGCCCCTGCTGACTTTCCCTCCTTTCCCTCGTCACTCTCCTGCTGGAAATTCCAGCACTGTCATATCATGTGCTCCGTCACTTTAATTGCTCAAGTGGGAATAATCCTCAGGGGCCGAAGGGAACACGTCAACAAATCTGACTTCAGGAGTGCAGATATCCTCAGGGGGCATTAAAGCCACTCATGTGTCCAGTCCAAGTCAAAACAGTGTTGATGGGGAAAGGCTCCGACTAGTATGTTTCAATAAGCTTTTGAGATGTTTTGGCTGGTCAGGTGAGGAGCACAAAAAGTGACTAATTAATTTGTCATGACAAGTGTTGCTATAGCAAAGAAGTGAATGTATTGCAGTGAATTCTTTACAGGACATTCATTTGATGCCGGTTTAAACTGTTTTATCTTTAATTTATCTTTTTTTTTATTAGCCTATCGTTAATTAGTTAATTGATTTGTGATATTAATTATAGTAATAAAATGTGACCTTGTGTTTTGCACAGTAACCAAGTATTTGTTATGATTTAGTCTTAGAATAAGGTACTTGAAGACGTGGTTGGAGCTCTTTCTCTATTTATTTATTTTGTATATATTTATATTTTATACATTTTAGATTAATACTAACATATACTATGTCTACCTCTCAAAAGTTTGGGGTCGGTAAGAATTTAAAAATAAATATTTAAAAATAAATATCTTGTTCTCACCAAGGCTCCATTTATGTGATTTAAAAATAAATAAATAAACAGAAGTAAGTTCAAAAGAACAGAATTTATATGGAATAGAAAATTATAAATACAAAGATCTGTCATGAAACTCTAGATGGTGCAGGCTGATAGGTCCTTAAAGTCCCCATGAATTCAAAATTGACCATACTTACTTTGTTTGCCTAAATTGATCGGTTTGTGGTGAACAATTCATCCATGCAAGTCAATCCACACAAACAAATTTTTTGGCTTCGTAATCTTTAATCAAAATCTGAAATTTCCCCTCCCCTCTGCTTTGGAGGACCTTGCCTCATGACGTAGGTTTCACGGTTTGGGGGTCTTCTTAACATCCGTAATCACGCCCCTCCAACTGACAGTAGACAGGCTGAATGAAAACACCTACTTTTCTAGATCCAATCAGGTGCTAGTTGGGAAAAAAGCCACGCCCACCACTTTGCCTCATTTAGTATTCCGTTTCTCTCGGAAATACGTCACAACACTGGAGAAAAGTCGTTTGCAACTTCCGGTTCACGGGGACTTTAACTCAATCTTTTTGCGAAACTACCAGAAGTATCTTTTTATAGTTTCCTCGTTAGCTAACGTTAGCCTAGCTAGTTTGCCAAGCTATTTTCATAAATAATCTGTAAGATCGTTTGTACCTTCATCTGTGACTGAAGGCCACTGTCTAACATCATCAACCCAACAAGTCAAAAGTCATTATGCCTGGCTGTAGCTGTCATCCAGGGTGGCTTATCACGGAGGTTTGTTTACACACCGGTAACAGCTCAGTAATAATTGCTCGCCACAAGATGGCAGCCTACACAGAACGCTCGTCGGATTCGTGTATAGGGAACAGCTGATTGGTTCCTGCTGTATCAGTAGCCAATGAGATCGCTGCTCAACCTTCAAATCCTTGGTCAGTATTTGCTGGAGTAGTTGCAGTGCTCTTTAAAAAAAAACCCACCTTCCCCAGCTCTACCTGTATAGATCTGCTATGGGTCATTCATGTACTCTATATTGTACAGCAGCGGCATGTCTACTTGCTCACAGCAGCGCATTATGTATCTATTAGCAGTAGCAAGTCCTGTCCTTAATATTAATTTCTTAAAGAAAACATTTTTGTTGACCCCAAACTTTTGAACAGCGTGTGTGTGTGTTTACTATATAGTATATTTACTGTATATTTGATTTATATTTAGAAGTAATGTGCTTAAAAGTAAAAGTCTAGTGGAAGGTTAGAGGAACAGCTGATATTTGACTAAAGCACCTTTAAAGCTTAAGAGTGTAATTTCTAGCAACACCAGAAAAAATGGAAAGCAGACAGCAACCTGACATGTATAATGGCGACTTGAACCCGTAACCTCTTCCGCCCAGATCCTTAACCATTAGATTAACAACCCTCTAACAGATTTATGTGGACAAGCGTCCTTTACTGCAGTGTGAGGACGCCACTTCTCACTGAAACACTGAGCAATTTATCTGAATCCTCCACTCAGGGTGGCACTTGCATTTAAATGAGACCTCTTGAACTCCAGTCAGACCTTCACCACAGAGCTATAGACTTATTGATGTCAAGCATCTTTATATTTTATTCTTTATTGCAGAGATAAACATTTCAGCCTAATTAGTTTCACTTTCACAGAGAAAATTCAAAATGGGCCCGTGATGTTTAAATGTATGATGTTGCCTAGCAGGTTTTTGTGTGTGTGCTTCTAAGATTAGTTTTGCAGATTAAATCTTTAACAGTGTTTTGAGAAATCTGGTTTAGGTTTGTCAAGCTTCACACAAAGACACATGTATAGTGTAAATCCCTGCTGGACAGATTCTCCTCCCTTAATTCGGAGGGATTCTATCACCTCATTTCACCTATGTTGTTAGGCAAAAATGAAATATGTATTGAATATCCTTATTTTCAGAATAAAATGAGTGTCTTTGCCCATGCAAAACTCTTCTCCTTCCAGTGTCCTTCAAAACTGGACCAATCCTAATGTCAAAGGTGAGTAGGTGACCTGGATGATGGTGGCACAAATGAATCAATTCCCACAGGAAGTCAATCCAGGAGCTATGCACAATGATGACTGGTGGAAGATGATGTGATTAGACTGGAGTTGTCAGCTGTAAATGTGACTCTGTTTGCTACAAAACCATCAGATCTCACCTGCAGAGCCTCATCAAAGAGGAGACGTAAGTGCTCTCTTCTCTTTAATAGGGCTTAAAGAGTTAGTTAGTTAGTAAAAGTCTTACGGGGTTGGAACAACATGAGGGTGAGTAATTACTGACAGAATTTTCATTTTTGGGTGAACTATCCCTTTAAGGTTCCTGTTCTAATATATTATATACAACTGTACTAAACTAAGATTGAAATAAACTAGATTTACATTCCTGAAGCCGTAAGGAACTTAATGTATCCTTGCTGAATAAATTGATCAACTTGATCAAAAGTGACAGTAAAGATTTCTATCGCTAAAAAATTCTATCTATCTATGATTCAGTCATGAAACTCTAGAGGGCGCAGGCTGATAGGTTCTTTACATGCAATCTGCAAGCGATCACATCATTATCGCATGGCACAAGCTGATTGGCCCCTGCTGATCCTGCAGCCAATGAGATCGCTTGCTCAACATTTAAACAGTCTGGTTCAGGGTTTGCTGTAGGCTATCACAGTTCCTGAACCCCTCCACCTCCCCAGCTCCGCCTGCCTAGATCTGCTACGTGATTTATGTATGTCTATTCATGCAGCAGCATATCGAAATGCTCACAGCAGCGTGTCTGTTAGCATTTGCAAGTCCATTAACATTGCCTTATTCAATAACATGCTAAAACTATTTAGAGAGTTGTTATGATAGTGGGTATATACTATATAAGTCGTTTAAGGTCAGTATGATACTTTTATCGTACTGAGCCATCTTTTTTTGAAGCTTACACTTTTAGGCCTGGTTTTACAGACAGGTTTGCTTTCAGTTAAAACAGCTCAAACATGCATAGTCTGAGACTACCTTGTCTGTGAAACCGGGGGCTAATCTTGAATTTGAGATTGAAGTTTTAAAAAATCCGCCATTGATTTACATTGGTAGAATGTTCAGCATTCAAATTGTAACCAATATCAACATCATTCTATGCATGTTATACACTCACCTAAAGAATTATTAGGAACACCTGTTCAATTTCTCATTAATGCAATTATCTAATCAACCAATCACATGGCAGTTGCTTCAATGCATTTAGGGGTGTGGTCCTGGTCAAGGCAATCTCCTGAACTCCAAACTGAATGTCAGAATGGGAAAGAAAGGTGATTTAAGCAATTTTGAGCGTGGCATGGTTGTTGGTGCCAGACGGGCCGGTCTGAGTATTTCAGAATCAACTCAGTTACTGGGATTTCCATGCACAACCCCTTCTAGGGTTTACAAAGAATGGTGTGAAAAGGGAAAAACATCCAGTATGCGGCAGTCCTGTGGGCGAAAATGCCTGGTTGATGCTAGAGGTCAGAGGAGAATGGGCCGACTGATTCAAGTTGATAGAAGAGCAACTTTGACTGAAATAACCACTCGTTACAACCTAGGTATGCAGCAAAGCATTTGTGAAGCCACAACACGCACAACCTTGAGGCGGATGGGCTACAACAGCAGAAGACCCCACCGGGTACCACTCATCTCCACTACAAATAGGAAAAAGAGGCTACAATTTCCAAGAGCTCACCAAAATTGGACAGTTGAAGACTGGAAAAATGTTGCCTGGTCTGATGAGTCTCGATTTCTGTTGAGACATTCAGATGGTAGAGTCAGAATTTGGCGTAAACAGAATGAGAACATGGATCCATCATGCCTTGTTACCACTGTGCAGGCTGGTGGTGGTGGTGTAATGGTGTGGGGGATGTTTTCTTGGCACACTTTAGGTCCCTTAGTGCCAATTGGGGATCGTTTAAATGCCACGGCCCACCTAAGCATTGTTTCTGACCATGTCCATCCCTTTATGGCCACCATGTACCCATCCTCTGATGGCTACTTCCAGCAGGATAATGCACCATGTCACAAAGCTTGAATCATTTGAAATTGGTTTCTTGAACATGACAATGAGTTCACTGTACTAAAATGGCCCCCACAGTCACCAGATCTCAACCCAATGGGCTATATGCACGCATAACTTCCGTGTTTGACGCAAGGATGCTCTTGCGTTTCCGGTTGGGGAGATTTAAAGCGGAGGAAAATTATCGGGATTATGGCAGAGTCTTCAAAATTTACTGTCCTCTCGACTTTGAAACGAAACTTTAATACGTTTAGATGTAATTTTATATATAGTTATGTTTATTTAATATAATAAACACAGAAGCATAAACAAAAATGTCTGTTTTTGTGACTAACGTTTCTTTAGTATAGCAATAGAGTATAAAAACCAATATAAATTCTCAGTATAGCATTGGACTCTACGATCGGCGGAAGTAATCCAGCATCCTTAGACCATCCTTAGGAAATACCGCCGTGCATAGAGCCCATAGAGCATCTTTGGGATGTGGTGGAACGGGAGCTTCGTGCCCTGGATGTGCATCCCACAAATCTCCATCAACTGCAAGATGCTATCCTATCAATATGGGCCAACAGTTCTAAAGAATGCTTTCAGCACCTTGTTGAATCAATGCCACGTAGAATTAAGGCAGTTCTGAAGGCGAAAGGGGGTCAAACACAGTATTAGTATGGTGTTCCTAATAATCCTTTAGGTGAGTGTATATGTTCAGAATGTTTGAGGAACATCATCAAAATAGTGCTGCTTTGCAAACACATTAACTAAT